TTGACTTTGGAATTGAATAACTGTGGACAAAATCTAATTGGCCTCGTAAAATTAAACTAAAACTTAACAATGTTGTTGACGATCTTAATGTTAATTCATCAGATGTTAATTTCTGTTTTTTTTTAAAAAAAATATTGTCATCCTCTCATTAAGCTCAGTTTATCTATTGTTTAAACAATGAATAGTTTTAACTTGTTCAGAGCATACTTAATAGTAAAATCATAGAGTGCACTATGAAGAAATTGCTGTATTCAGAGTATGCTTAAGAGCATGCTTAATAAATGCACTCAGTTGAGGACATTATCTTCTTGCACTCATTATGTGTTCAGGAGCTTATACCTGACCGAGCACATACATTTCTATAATTCTTGCATGTGCTCAATTTTGTAAGAACACGCGTTGCCTATTAGGTTTTATGGATTCACTTCCTTTGTTTTCTTGTTTTTCCATTGATGATTTCAAACCTGTTTTTGCAGGAATTTTTTGAAACAACTTAAATTTTTCTTACTTTTAAAAACAAATTAAAAAGATTAAATTATGTTCAATCCAGGTTTCATATTTTTTAGATTAAAAGAATGCACTCATTTGCAGTGTACCATATGTTTTTCCATGTAGTACCATGTTTAAGTTTTGCGCATTTAACATAATAAAAAGTTCAATCTGTCTCTCTGCTGCTGATGCTGAAAGCGTATAATAATTAATATAGAAAATCAGGTTTTGCTATGATCCTAAAATAATACATTAAAACTTCATACTCTTGGATTTACTTAAAGATAAAACTAAATGTGTGAGTCATCTTGATTGCTGATATTTTAGAAAACTTTATTTTTAAATCGTGTCTAAATGAGCATCAATATTATGTATTAATTATATTATTGGATTGTAAGGATACTTTATACTCAAAATTATTTTTATTATTATGATTATTACTATTGGTTTATTGTTCATTCTTATATTCAAAGGAAAAAGACTCCTTAAAAAGTCATAAAAAAAATTTTGACGTCTTACAGAGAAATTTTACACTAAATATATATATACATTCTATCCACTTTTTCTCCTGCTAATCTGTGGGCTCCTCTCAGCCACACAAAAATACTTTAAGAGTCTCAACGCATTTAAATGCCTTTAAGAAATCTCTTACAAATTAATAAACATTCAAAGCTCGTTAATTAACGGTTTCAAAACATTTGAAAATTATCTACTCGCTTTTAAATAATATCATCTTTAATTCCTTCTTCTCGGTAAAAAAAAAGATATATCCTTTGAGTAGTAATTTGTGTTTGTCAACAGATGTGCTCAATAATAACAAATAAATTTAAATAACTAAGTGAATTAGTGCTTTTAGCTATTGAAATTGTTGATTAGGAATGCTGATGTAATCAAAACAAACTGGTGAATTGAATTATAACACGAAATTCCACGAAACTAATTTCAATTATATAGTAAAACTATTCTTCGAGTTAACACATTATATCAGGTTAGTGTTTGCATTCAATTCTTTAAAATAGCTTTTGATGTGCTTAAAAAAGGAGCTTTGCAACTGGAAATTAAAGCCACAATTATAGAACAATTGTATGAAAAAGATAAATTAGATAAATTTCGTTTTTGTGTAAGAAAATAAGTATGAGATTAGTCAATGTTTTTAATTTTTATATTTACACCGTTTTCACGTGTGAATCTATGGGGCTGTTCACTTATTACGTAACGCGAAAAAATTACTTTTTAGACCCCCCCCCCCCCCCCCTTGTAACAAAATTTGTATGAAAAAAAAATTTCCTTGTTTGAACCGTAACAAAATCTTAGACCCCCCCTCCCCCCTAAAAGCGTTACGTAATAAGTGAATGGCCCCTATTGGTTTTGTTCAGATTGAAAAATCAGTTTTTCGCATTTTGTGAGAAAACAAAGCAAAATTGGTTATAAAAGGTCAAGAAGAAAAGTTTGTGCCTGAAATTTTACATCATTTTCAAAAAACAGATTTCAAATTGGTTGTGGCATTGCTGAGAAAATCGCAAAATACGCTTTCTGTAAGCAAACAAGCAAGCAAGCAAGTTAATCAGCAAGAAATCTCAATAACGAGACATCGTAGAGACTTCTAGTTTTTTTACATTTGATCCGTGCTGCTCTATAGAAGAGCTGTATTGTTTTTGGGCAAGGTAGGAACAGCCGTTGCTTCAGAAATGGCAAAAAACTTTCCTTTCTTACGAATTTTTTAAAACAAAAGTTGACTGTGATTTTTATAAAATTCAACTTTGGATGAAAATTTTTTTTAAAAAACTTTTAAAGAATATTTGGCATATTCGTCAAGCTTTATATCTTCAAACTTATGCTGAGCGTAGCTCAGCTGACTCGATAGCTTTAAATCTTCAACTTATGCTGAGCGAAGCTCCACTGCCTCTCTAGCTTCATATCTTCAAACTTATGCTGAGCGTAGCTCAGCTGACACTCTAGCTTTATATCTTCAAACTTATGCTGAGCGTAGCTCAGCTTACGCGATAGCTTTATAACTTCAAACTTATGCTGAGCGAAGCTCAGCTGCCTCTCTAGCTTCATATCTTCAAACTTATGCTGAGCGTAGCTCAGCTTACGCGATAGCTTTATAACTTCAAACTTATGCTGAGCGAAGCTCAGCTGCCTCTCTAGCTTCATATCTTCAAACTTATGCTGAGCGTAGCTCAGCTTACGCGATAGCTTTATAACTTCTAACTTATGCTGAGTGAAGCTCAGCTGCCTCTCTAGCTTCATATCTTCAAACTTATGCTGAGCGTAGCTCAGCTTACGCGATAGCTTTATAACTTCAAACTTATGCTGAGCGAAGCTCAGCTGCCTCTCTAGCTTCATATCTTCAAACTTATGCTGAGCGTAGCTCAGCTTACGCGATAGCTTTATAGCTTCAAACTTATGCTGAGCGAAGCTTAGTTGACTTATCAAGCTTCATACCTTCATACTTATGATGGGCAAATCTTGGTCTATCCATAAGACTTATGATAGTACGGTGTGAATATAATCCGCATTGGGTTTCTACCCGATACACTAGTTTTTTTTGAAAAAACCTAAGCGATTGAGAAACTTGAAAAAAAAAACAATTTTCAATTAAATTTCAAAAATTTATTTATTTTCTCATGAGAATTTTTTTTACATTTTTTGGATGCTCGTTAAATAATAATATTTAATATTACCTTCAAACTTAAAATCATTTCATCTACAGATCTTATCACATTTTTATAATCAAGTCATTTTCATTATCAATTTATGCTTTCTCTTCTGTAGAAGCTGTGGCAACTGATTGTGCATCACTGACTTCAGTTGGTTCACTTGTACAAGCTAATGATGGATATTTCTTCTGTAGAGCAGCACGATATTTTGGATGACTGATGCCATAAACAATTGGGTTGTAGACAGCATTAGCTTTGGCGAACAAACTTCCCCAGATTGTTGCAAGTGGTGTGATCTTTGTACTTGTAAGAACTCCAGTGAAGTTGATGATCAAGTATGGTGTCCAGGCCATGAACCACAATGAGATTGTCATCAATGCAACTTTAGCCAATTTACATTCGGCACTTTGATTGACATTTTCCGATGATCTCAAGGATGCAACATTCATTTTCTTGGCTTGTTCACGCATATTCTTCTCATGAGCAGAAACAGCTTGCAATATGAAGAAGTATGAGTAGATAATTGAAAGAAGAGGTGTCCAGTATACGAAGAGAGCATAAAGCAAAATGTATGAACGCGTGCTCCATTTATGTGATAAGTAATCAGTTCCGCATGCTGTCATGTTTCCTTCTGGAACATATCTGCACCATCCAAAGAATGGAGCACCAGTCCAGATAAGAGCAAAGAACCAGATGATTGCAATTCTGACCATGGCATCACTCTTTGTCATTGGCTTGCCTGAAAGACCCTTTACGATAACATTGTAACGATCGAATGCAATCATGGTCATAGTCCAAATAGAAACACATCCAAACAATGATCCAGCAGCGGCATACAGTTGACATGCTAATGGTCCATAAATCCATGTTTCATGATAACAACTCATAACCATAGGCGGTCCCATAGTAAACATCATCAAGAAGTCAGAGAAAGCCAAGTTGACAACTAAAAGATTTGAAGGCGTACGAAGTGATTTGGTAGATGTGAAGACGCTAATTACAACATAATTTCCAATCATTGAGACGATACCAAGACAGAAGATGGTGAATCCCAAAATTGAATGCCAGAGAGGATTCATTGGTGGAAATTGTCCCCAGTGGTCACTTACTAGATGACGCATTTCTGGTCGAACTAAGTCTAAAACAGTGATGTTGCCACCAATATTTCCTGATTGATATGCTGCAAAGGCTGCCATTTTTATAATTTTTTTGAAATTTCACTTTTGAAAAATTTAAACGATTTAAAATATTTTTATTTTGATAAAAGTTTTTTCACTTTGATATGAGCTGAAGAAAATCGTTTATTAACGAACTACTTCAAGCTCTAATGACTAGTCGCAATGAAAACCAAATCAAGCTTGAGAATATGTAGAAAATTTCTTCATATTTATACAGAACAAAACCAATAGTAATTTTTAATTTAATTATGTTTTCTTAAGTTTTTTTAAGCTATTTTATGTTGCAATTTTAAATCCTTTTAATAAAACCCGTTCACTCAGTACGTAACTCTTTTATGCAGAGGCTTTTTAAAAATTAAGAAAAATAATTTTTCTTTTAAAATGTGAACTAAGTGGTGAGTCAATGAAAATTAGGCTATGGTCTTTCGATTAAAAGGACTTTTTATTTAAAAACAAAATTTAAAATATATATATACAATCTAGCAACCGACTTCCCCCCCACCCCCCTTGTTTAAAATGGTCTAAAATCCAAGACATTCTCTTTTGAACGTAATTAATGAACGACCCTTAATATTTTACACTCAAAATTGATGATCAAACGTCAATGAAATAACAACGTCACGAATCATTTTCAAAGACAGTTGAAGAATTACGATGAATTTATATTGATCGATTGTAAACAAAACATATGAACATAATTGTCCCCAGAATCATAACAACGGAGTTTCGCGCTTCCGACCAATTCAAAATTTTTGCGCTTTTTTGTATTTGAGAGAGTTTTTTTTTTTTAATTTGCAATGCGATCGACTGCCACTGAAGAACGATGATGTAATGAAATAATAATGAATGCATTTGGGTAAACTAAACTACAAAGAGTTAAATATATGATTTTGACATTTAAAGGGATTGCTTTAAGAGCGTAATGAAAGAAGCAGGATAAAGAATTGAAAGATTTCATAATTGAGAAATAATGAAAATTGAGAAACAAGAAACAAAAAAATTGCATTTAGGTTACATCAAAATTTTATTTTTTTTACATTTTTTGAATGCTCGTAAAATAATAAATTAATAGAATACATTCATAATGCTCACCCATAGTCCATTTGTGTTTCTCGTTTTTCAAAGGCAATCAATTTATGCTTTCTCTTCAGTAGAAGCTGTGGCAACTGATTGTGCATCACTGACTTCTGCTGGTTCACTCGCACAAGCTAATGATGGATATTTCTTCTGGAGAGCAGCACGATATTTTGGATGACTGATGCCATAAACAATTGGGTTGTAGACAGCATTAGCCTTGGCAAATAAACTTCCCCAGATTGTTGCGAGTGGTGTGATCTTTGTATTCGTAAGAATTCCTGTAAAGTTGATGATCAAGTATGGTGTCCAGGCCATGAACCACAATGAGATTGTCATCAATGCAACTTTAGCCAATTTACATTCGGCACTTTGATTGACATTTTCCGATGATCTTAAAGATGCAACATTCATTTTCTTGGCTTGTTCACGCATATTCTTTTCGTGAGCAGAAACAGCTTGCAAGATGAAGAAGTATGAGTAGATAATCGAGAATAGTGGTGTCCAGTATACGAAGAGAGCATAGAGTATGATATATGAACGGTTGCTCCATTTATGTGATAAGAAGTCAGTTCCACATGATGTCATGTTTCCTTCTGGAACATATCTGCACCATCCAAAGAATGGAGCACTAGTCCAGATAAGAGCAAAGAACCAGATGATTGCTATCTTGACCAAAGCATCATTCTTAGACATTGGCTTGCCTGAAAGACCCTTTACGATAACATTGTAACGATCGAATGCAATCATGGTCATGGTCCAAATGGAAACACATCCAAACAATGATCCTGCAGCGGCATACAGTTGACATGCTAATGGTCCGTATATCCATGTTTCATGATAACAATTCATAACCATAGGTGGCCCCATAGTAAACATCATCAATAAGTCAGAGAAAGCCAAGTTGACAACCAAAAGATTTGAAGGCGTACGAAGTGATTTGGTTGATGTGAAGACGCTAATTACAACATAATTTCCAATCATTGAGACGATTCCAATACAGAAGATGGTGAATCCCAATATAGAATGCCAAAGAGGATTCATTGGTGGAAATTGGCCCCAATAATCACTTACTAGATGACGCATTTCTGGTCGAACCAAGTCAAGGACGGTAAGATTGCTACCAAAACTTCCTAATTGATATGTTGCAAAAGCTGCCATTTTTATTAATTTTTAAATATATTTATTTTTATTCACTGTTGAATTATTTAACTTTGAGCTTAAGAAAATCGTTTATTAACGAACTACTTCAAGCTCTAATGACTAATCGCACTGAAAACCAAATCAAGCTTGAGAATATGTGGATTTTTGTTTTCATATTTATGCAAAAAAAATTCAGTTGTGGTTGCCTAATTAGTTTATAAATTTTCAAAGTTTTTTTTTAAATATAATGCACTTCAATGTAATGTCAATTCTATAATCATATTATCATATTATTTATCAATATATGTTGTTATAATATTGATTGACATTTGCTTTGCGCCTTTGAAAATGAACAAGGGAATAAGCCGGATAAGATGTTGCATGAAGCCAACACGGCTTTACTTTTGTAATACATAGAAAACATTATTCTGCTTAGCTTTTTTAAAAGAACGACCGAAAGGTTGTGAATTATTAATAGCGCAGCTAGTTAAGTTATAGCTATAAGAATCAATTAAAGAATATTAATGCTAAAAAAGTGTTTATGATGATTACTAAAAGTTCTTAAAATAAACGGTAAAAAATCATAACAAAATAAATGTCTTTTTTATGCATTCTAATTTAATTTTCTGAAACTAGACAAATCTTCCTAAACAATGTATAGCATTGTTATGCTAACTCAATGTTTCAACTTTCGTATTCTGGGCGTAGTGAGGGGGTTTGACATTTAGGGAACATGAAAAATTTAAGAAATTTAAATTTTTATATTTGATTTTTATTTTTGATTTTTGGTTTCTTTTCTGATGATGATGCAGTAGGATGGACCAAAATCTGAGTGGTCGGTCCCATCCCCCTTATGCTACACCTTTGAGCTTAATAAAATTATTGAGTTTAGCTCGAAAAATTAAATTACGAGATACAATAGCTTGTATAAATACGAGAAAATTTTCCATGTTGTCTCAAGCTTGATTTGGTTTTCATTGCGACAACATATTAAAGAGCTGAAAGTAGTTCGTTTTCAAACGATTTTCTTCAGCTCATATCAAAGTGAAAAAAAAACTTTTATCAAGATAAAAATATTTTAAACTAGGTATTTAAAAAATTTCAAAAGTTATATTTTTGAAGAAACTGACAAAATGGCAGCTTTTGCAACATATCAATCAGGAAGTTTTGGTAGCAATCTTACCGTTCTTGACTTGGTTCGACCAGAAATGCGTCATCTAGTAAGTGATTATTGGGGCCAATTTCCACCAATGAATCCTCTTTGGCATTCTATTTTGGGATTTACCATCTTCTGTATTGGAATCGTCTCAATGATTGGAAATTATGTTGTAATTAGCGTCTTCACATCAACCAAATCACTTCGTACGCCATCAAATCTTTTGGTTGTCAACTTGGCTTTCTCTGACTTATTGATGATGTTCACTATGGGGCCACCTATGGTTATGAATTGTTATCATGAAACATGGATATACGGACCATTAGCATGTCAACTGTATGCCGCTGCAGGATCATTGTTTGGATGTGTTTCCATTTGGACTATGACCATGATTGCATTCGATCGTTACAATGTTATCGTAAAGGGTCTTTCAGGCAAGCCAATGTCTAAGAACGATGCTTTGGTCAAGATAGCAATCATTTGGTTCTTTGCTCTTATCTGGACTGGTGCTCCATTCTTTGGATGGTGCAGATATGTTCCAGAAGGAAACATGACATCATGTGGAACTGACTTCTTATCACATAAATGGAGCAACCGTTCATATATCATACTCTATGCTCTCTTCGTATACTGGACACCACTATTCTCGATTATCTACTCATACTTCTTCATCTTGCAAGCTGTTTCTGCTCATGAGAAGAATATGCGTGATCAAGCCAAGAAAATGAATGTTGCATCCTTGAGATCATCGGAAAATGTCAATCAAAGTGCCGAATGTAAATTGGCTAAAGTTGCATTGATGACAATCTCATTGTGGTTCATGGCCTGGACACCATACTTGATCATCAACTTTACTGGAATTCTTACAAGTACAAAGATCACACCACTCGCAACAATCTGGGGAAGTTTATTTGCCAAGGCTAATGCTGTCTACAACCCAATTGTTTATGGCATCAGTCATCCAAAATATCGTGCTGCTCTCCAGAAGAAATATCCATCATTAGCTTGTGCGAGTGAACCAGCAGAAGTCAGTGATACACAATCAGTTACCACAGCTTCTACTGAAGAGAAAGCATAATTATGAAAGTAACACTGTCTTTAAAAACGAGAATCTTAAACTGGACATGAATGAACATTCTAGGAATATATTTTATTATCTTTTATTATTTTACGAGCATCCAAAAATGTAAAAAAAATCTCAAAAGATGAGAGTCAAAATAAATTTAAATATGTATGTATTAATCAAGATCCTCCTGAAGAAAGAAGTCTAAACTTTCAGCAATAACTTAATACAGCGAAAAGAGCGTTGTTTTGATTTTTAGAACATTTTCATTTAAATATAAATGTGCTTCAAGCTGTTCCTAAACTTCAAATTGATATAAACTTTATAAATTTGTCATTTTTCAGTTTTCTATTTTGCTTCGCTTTGGCATGCAATAATATTGATAAGGCAGTTTTTTTAGATGCAGTTTAAAATAAACTTAAACTATTTTTCGTGGTGTTATGTTAAGTTAATTAAATTAATTCTTTTCAAAAATGACACCAACAAAGAGCGAAGTTCGTTTAGACGCACTTGGAAAAATTTAAGATTTTGTTTTTCCTGTGTTGTATATTGATCTTAATCTTTTTAAATGTGGTTCTTAATCTAGATTTTTCTTCGAGATTTGTTTTTGTCTCAGAAATTTAAAAAAATTATTTTAACCACGATTTTGTGTTAAATTGTTGTCCTTTTAACTAATATACTTAGATAATTGTTCATAATATTAGAATATTACCAGATAATTAGGCTTTCTTTTAAGTATAAGGCGAAAATATGTGAAAAATATGATTATGGTGAATAATTTTCACTACTTTCGTACATTAATCAACAAATTTTTACAAAACTATTGATACCTTAATAAATTTGAATATACCAGATTATTGATCGTATAAAACTTAATGGAAAACAGAAAACTGCATAGTTTGATGCCTAATAGAACTTGAAAATTTCATAGGAAAATTAAGTTGTAGTAAATAATTTCATTTAATTCGTGATTTCAATTGATTAATTTTGAGAAAGAAATTGCCAAGAAAAACCATTCAATGACAAAAACTTTCAAATTACAACGGGGTTAAGTTGACTTCCAAAGCTCCTCGTAAAAACATCCCAACATAGGAGAACGAATGACTTATGTAGTCAATAATTAAAAACTTTTTCACTGTTTAACATCTCAATTATACAAAGCTTGTTTCCTTACTAAGAAAATTGCACATGAATGATTCTTTATATTTATATGAAAATTGAAATTTTAGAATTCTAAAACTAATTAGATTTTTTCAAAATCTCCATACTTACTTAACATTTTAATTTTATTCCACCAGTGCATTTTAAATAAAACGCAGTGTTGAAAAACGGGAAATACATTTGTAAGTACAACATTACAAGGATATACGACACTTAATTAGTGCTCATTATAAAGTTTGTCAACTCTGCTCATTATGTTGTATGTTTTCATTTGTGTGATCTTTGTAACCTTACATTACAATTGTAGCTCATTGAAGTAATTTGTTTAAAAATAAAATTGTAGGATCTAATTAAAGGAACCTAATTCAAAAAGTAGCAATCGTAAATTGTAATTGAAACGCTTATTTTAAAGCTTTAAATAAATTAAGAAAAACTTTGCGAAAAAATTTTCAATTTTTTTTTTGTTTGGATAGTTTTTTGTTGAGAATTTAAGATTCTATTATTTAAAAAAATTAAAATTAAAATGTATAAAATCTTGATGTAAAAGACGGATAATAAAGCCTAAAGACATTCTGACAAAATCATGAAACATTAAAACTTATTTAATAATGTTAACAAAAGGGAGGAGAACCAAAATTATTATGACGACAAAAACAAAGAGCTTTAGTTAACATTTAATCAAATTATAAATTCTGTATAAATACAAAAAAAAATCTGATGGATCAATCAAGTTTGATTTGGTATTCAAAACGATAAGTTATAACAGAGCTTGGAGTAGTTCGTTCCCAAACGATTTTCTTCAGCTCATATCAAAGTGAAAAAAACTTTTATCAAAATAAAAATATTTTAAAACATTTGAATTTTTCAAAAGGAAATTTTCGGAAGAAATTAACAAAATGGCAGCTTTTGCAGCATATCAATCAGGAAGTTTTGGTGGTAATCTTACCGTCCTTGATCTCGTACATCCAGAAATGCGCCATATGGTCAGTGACCACTGGAGCCAATTTCCACCAATGAATCCTCTTTGGCATTCTATATTGGGATTCACCATCTTCTGTATTGCGATCATCTCAATGATTGGAAATTATGTTGTAATTAGCGTCTTCACATCTACCAAATCACTTCGTTCGCCTTCAAATCTCTTAGTTGTCAACTTGGCTTTCTCTGACTTCTTGATGATGTTCACTATGGGACCACCTATGGTTATGAGTTGTTATCATGAAACATGGATTTACGGACCATTGGCTTGTGAATTATATGCTGCTGCTGGATCATTGTTTGGATGTGTATCAATTTGGACCATGACATTGATTGCATTCGATCGTTACAATGTTATCGTAAAGGGTCTTTCAGGCAAGCCAATGACTAAGAGTGATGCCATGGTCAGAATTGCAACCATCTGGTTGCTTGCTCTTATCTGGACTGGTGCTCCATTCTTTGGATGGTGCAGATATGTTCCAGAAGGAAACATGACAGCATGCGGAACTGATTACTTATCGCAAGACTGGGGAAGCCGTTCATATATTTTGGTATATGCTGTGTTTGTATATTTCACACCACTTCTCATGATCATTTACTCATACTTCTTCATCTTGCAAGCTGTAGCCGCTCACGAGAAGAATATGCGAGATCAAGCCAAGAAAATGAATGTTGCATCCTTAAGATCATCGGAAAATGTCAATCAAAGTGCTGAATGTAAATTGGCTAAAGTTGCATTGATGACAATCTCATTGTGGTTCATGGCCTGGACACCATACTTGATCATCAACTTTACTGGAGTTCTTACAAGTACAAAGATCACACCACTTGCAACAATCTGGGGAAGTTTATTCGCCAAAGCTAATGCTGTCTACAACCCAATTGTTTATGGCATCAGTCATCCAAAATATCGTGCTGCTCTTCAAAAGAAATATCCATCATTAGCTTGTGCAAATGAACCAGAACCTGAAGTCAGTGATGCACAATCAGTTGCAACGGCTTCTACAGATGAAAAGGCATAAAATTATGGCAATGACAAACTTACTTTGAACACATAAATTGACCAAGGAATACGTTCTACATTATTTTATAATTTAACGAGCATTCTCAAAATGTAAAAAAAAATAAAAAAATTAATAAATTGTAAGATGACAATTTAAAATGAAACTTTAAATGCTTTGAAAATGTATTTGAGATATAGATTTACAGGGTTGTTAAGTTTTAAGGCAATCTTTTATTTAAGCTCTAAAACTTTTAAAACTTTTAATATTCGAAAAGTTCGTTCTGAAAATGGTTTAGCTAAAACATAAATTTCGATATCTTACTCCAAAACCTGATTAAAAAAGTCCCTTTGCATGTTTAAGACAAATCTTTTGATATGCAATCATTAGTCCTTAATTGAAAAATGAGAGTTTTACATCTTAAATAAAGACCTTTAATTCAAAGAAACCAACCCTGTAGAAAGTAGACTTATTGTAATAAATGTTGTTAATTATGTGTAAGGACTTTATTTTCTTCTGAAATTTATGCCAGGATAGTGCACTTTCGGGTTTCTCTATTGAAATCTCCAAGGATGTTATAAATTTTTTAAAAGAAATACAATTTTTCATAAGAGGAAAGGATCCTCTTTATTTGTTTTTCAGTATTTTATTTGAATTTAAAGTATTTGGAGAGGTTTTTGCCAATCGATTAACTCCCAGTTTTAAAGTTCTTCTTCAACATTACCAAATGAGAATAAATTAATGCGTTACTCTATGGAATCAAGTATATGACATCAATCTTTGAAATATCGACCAGATTGCTGCGAGACGAAACAGTTTGACCAGCTCAATCTTCAATATAATATTTTTCAAATGTATACTTAATATATTTTAAACGTTCTAAAAACAACTTTTCGCATTTTATATATTATTCTCACTTTGAGTGACTGTTATAGATGGCAAGAGATCTATAGGAAGATAAAAAAATAACTGGATTGGATGTATTGATAAGGACGCTACGTTCCTTAATATTCCAAACTTCGGAAGGTCTCGGAGAATAGAGCTGTCTTTAGACGATCTCTGAACGCAGCAACGGGCCCACGTGCTCCTCAGCCAAGGAAATAATTAAATAAGTAAATGTTATTCCTTAAAATTATAAATGTTGATTTTAACGATGCGTTGATATGCAAATGATATCAGGGAAGGTTGGACATTACTCTAACAGCTCTTAATATACGTATATTTGAAGATATTATGCCACATTCATACTCTCATAATTTTTTTCTATAAATAAATTTTTTGGAAAATCTCATTTCAATAACCAATCTTACAAATAGATTTTTTAATTTCTCTGCTCGTTAAGTGTCAGGTAGATTCATACTGTCCATATTCTTCATGTGAAACATGAAATGGTTCTAATTAAATTAAAATCAAAGAAATGAAAACTTAGAAAAAATTATCATCTAATAAGCAGCGTTGATAACTGATGAAGTTTTCCCAAAACTTCCTTTTTGTAATTTGGTTTTAGAATTTTAAATTTTCTTAATTAATTTATCAAAAAAGAAAGTTTTTCTTCAATTAAAAATTATAAGCCATGGTTAAGCAGTTTCAATATTTAAATTTGTTGAATAGTTTTATAAAAGAAGCAATACCAGCTCTGGATAAAATTAATGAGTTTAACTACTAATTATGTACACATATTTATAGCATAATAAAATAAATAAATTATAAAACTTATTAAATTAAGGAGTTTAATAGCATTCCTCTGAATTGTATAAAAGTCTAATGCTTCCTTCAATTGAAATAAGTTCGGTTAGGTCTTTCATTACGACAACATATTAAAGAGCTGAAAGTAGTTCGTTCCCAAACGATTTTCTTCAGCTCATATCAAAGTGAAAAAAAAACTTTTATCAAAATAAAAATATTTTAAAACATTTGAATTTTTCAAAAGTAAATTTTCGGAAAAAATTAACAAAATGGCAGCTTTTGCAGCATATCAATCAGGAAGTTTTGGTGGTAATCTTACCGTCCTTGATCTTGTTCTTCCAGAAATGCGCCATATGGTCAGTGACCACTGGAGCCAATTTCCACCAATGAATCCTCTTTGGCATTCTATATTGGGATTCACCATCTTCTGTATTGGGATCATCTCAATGATTGGAAATTATGTTGTAATTAGCGTCTTCACATCTACCAAATCACTTCGTACGCCTTCAAATCTTTTAGTTGTCAACTTGGCTTTCTCTGACTTCTTGATGATGTTCACTATGGGACCGCCTATGGTTATGAGTTGTTATCATGAAACATGGATATATGGACCATTGGCTTGTGAATTATATGCTGCTGCTGGATCATTGTTTGGATGTGTATCAATTTGGACTATGACATTGATTGCATTCGATCGTTACAATGTTATCGTAAAGGGTCTTTCAGGCAAGCCAATGACTAAGAGTGATGCCATGGTCAGAATTGCAATCATCTGGTTCTTTGCTCTTATCTGGACTGGTGCTCCATTCTTTGGATGGTGCAGATATGTTCCAGAAGGAAACATGACAGCATGCGGAACTGATTACTTATCCCAAGACTGGGGAAGCCGTTCATATATTTTGGTATATGCTGTGTTTGTATATTTCACACCACTTCTCATGATCATTTACTCATACTTCTTCATCTTGCAAGCTGTAGCCGCTCACGAGAAGAATATGCGAGATCAAGCCAAGAAAATGAATGTTGCATCCTTGAGATCATCGGAAAATGTCAATCAAAGTGCCGAATGTAAATTGGCTAAAGTTGCATTGATGACAATCTCATTGTGGTTCATGGCCTGGACACCATACTTGATCATCAACTTTACTGGAGTTCTTACAAGTACAAAGATCACACCACTTGCAACAATCTGGGGAAGTTTATTCGCCAAAGCAAATGCTGTCTACAACCCAATTGTTTATGGCATCAGTCATCCAAAATATCGTGCTGCTCTTCAAAAGAAATATCCATCATTAGCTTGTGCGAGTGAACCAGCTGAAGTGAGTGATGCAGAATCAGTTGCAACAGCTTCTACTGAAGAGAAAGCATAAAATTATTGATACTATAATGATTCAATTGTCTTTACGAAAACAGGAGAACTAAAACGGACCATGAATGAACTTCTACGAATATATTTTATTTTATTTTATTATTTTATGAGCATCCAAAAAAAGTAAAAAAAAAAAATTGTCAGAAAGACAACTTTAAATAAAGCTATAAAAGAAAATTAAAAGCTATTTTACTATTTAGAATTACCGTTAGCCAAAAACTCAAATAAAAGGAGACTTTTTTCCCCTCACAAAGAACTCTACAATTTGTTATCAGCTGTTTTTTTTACCGCAATTGTTTACAAAGATTTTGCTTTGTAAGTTTATTATTTAATAAACCACAGAAATTTCAAACGACATTTCTTTAAAATCTAGTAAATTTCAATATTACAGTATCAGTTCATCATGAATCAGTTAGCCAGAACATTGAGAATTGGTTGTATTCAATTGAAAGTTTGTGCTAATAAAACTGAAAATGTTGCTCGTGCACTTAACAAAATTCGTGAAGCAAAAATGAAAGGAGCTGAGATAGTTTCATTACCAGAGTGTTTTAATAGCTTGTATGGAACTTCTTACTTTCCTGAATATGCAGAACCCATTCCTGGGGAAACCACAAATCTCCTTTCACAAATAGCGAAGGAATTAGAAATTATTGTTATCGGTGGAACAATTCCTGAACGGGATGGTGACAAGTTATTCAATACAGCAACTGTTTGGGGAAAGTCTGGAGAATTGCTAGCGAAGTATCGCAAAATGCATTTATTTGACATAGACATACCTAATGAAATCACATTTAAAGAATCAGATTCTTTAACAGCTGGAAATGAACTCGCAATCATTGATGTTAAAGATTTTAAGATTGGATTGGGAATTTGCTATGATATTCGATTCGAAGAACTTGCCAAATTATATAGAAAACAAGGCTGTAACATGCTTGTCTATCCAGGTGCATTTAATATGAAGACAGGTCCTTTACATTGGGAATTACTAGCAAGATCTAGAGCTAACGACAATCAACTTTTTACTGCATTAATTTCTCCTGCAAGAGATGTAAATGCCTCTTATGTTGCTTATGGTCATTCATGTGTTATTGATCCATGGGGGAAGGTTCTTTACATGGCTGAATCCGATGAGGAATTGTTTGTTGTAGATTTGGGTGAATAATTACACTATAAAGTTTATTGAATGAAATTCATTAATGTTTGTTTCAGAATTGGACGTTTCTGATAAGGTTCGATCAAATATTCCGATATTCAGTCAACGCCGTGTCGATGTTTATGATACAATTGAAAATAAGTGATTTCAGTCAAGTGTTATTAAAATGAACGAATTTTGAATTTTTTGTTGATAATGCTGAATAGCTGTATAAATAAATATTTTTTTAAGTGATTTTTTAAACTTTTCGTCTCTAAATCGACAGATTCTTATCAGACTTATTTGCCACATTTGTTTTTCAGAATTTAAAATTTCAGACGTGAAATTTTTTTTTAAATATTAAAATTCAAAAAAACTAGCTACATAAATTCATTATGAGTGAGTCTATGAGAAAATTAAGAGTTGGTTGCATACAAATAACAGTAAGTGCTAATAAAGCTGAAAATGTGGCTCGAGCTGTCGAGAAAATTCGAGAAGCGAAAAAGAGAGGAGCTGAACTTGTAGTACTTCCAGAATGCTTCAATAGCTTCATTAGTAATGATTATTATGGTAAATATGCTGAACCAATTCCTGGCGAAACAACTAATATTTTGTCAAAATTGGCAAAGGAGCTAGAAATTTTCATCATCGGAGGTACGATTCCTGAAAATGATGGAGATAAGCTGTTTAATACTGCAACTGTCTGGGGAAAATCAGGAGAACTGATGGGAAAATTTCGTAAAATGCATTTGTTTGACATAGACATACCAAATGAAATGACATTCAGAGAATCAGATTCCTTATCACCTGGAAATGAGCTTACTATCATTAATATCAAAGATTTCAAAATTGGATTGGGAATTTGCTATGATGTTAGATTTGAAGAACTTGCTAAATTATACAGAAAGCAAGGTTGCAATTTACTCGTATATCCAAGTGCATTTGGTATGAAAACAGGACCATTGCATTGGGAGTTAGTTGGACGATCCAGAGCAAATGATAATCAACTCTATACTGTACTCACTTCTCAAGGAAGAGATTTAAATGGTCCTTATGTTGCTTATGGGCACTCTTATGTTGCTGATCCATGGGGTAAAATGCTCTTTATGGCTGGAACAGACGACGAATTATTCATTGTTGATTTGGGTACTTTAATATTCAAATTCAAATCAGACAATTTTGATAATTTCAATATTTCATTTCAGATCTGGATGTTGTGGACAAAGTTAGATCAAACATCCCAATATTTATTCAACGTCGAGCTGATATTTATGATACTGTCCAAAAGAATTGAGCATGTTTTCAAATACATTTTGAAAAATAAAATTTTGAATTTCAGGGTCTGCATCATGTGTGAATTATCTCAATTGCCAACAGATAACATTAATTAATTTTTGATTCTATTTTTGTTTCATTCTTTTATCAATTTGTTGATAAGAACCGACCTTTTAATTTAAAAATTCTACTCTGCCTCTCTCGTTTTAAGAGAAGTAGCTGTTTCAAGAGAGTTTTTATAGTTAAATTTATCATAACATTCTCAACGTTTGACTCGAAAAGTCGTAAAACCAAGTAAAACAAACATAAATAATTAAAATGGCAATTTATCGTCGCGTATTTGATGATTCTGTATTGAAAAACTATCGTGTTGTCGATCTACGAAGTGACACTTTGGTAAAATTTGATTAATTTTGGATTATCAACGTAATGTACCTAAGTTTTTAATTGCCTTTCATAAAGTCGACTCCAACAGATGAAATGAGAAAAGCAATGTTTGAATGCGAAATTGGTGACGATGTTTATGGTGAAGATCCAACCGTCAATAAATTAGAGATCAAGGTTGCTGAACTTTTAAATAAAGAGGCAGCTCTATTTGTACCATCTGGAACTATGGGAAATTTGCTAGCTAGTAAATATTTTATAAAAAATTCATAATGGTTTAAGTGTTAATGTATGTTTTTCTTCAAATATCCAGTCTTGGTTCATTGCAATAAGCGTGGTTCTGAAGTGATGGTCGGAAGTGGAAGTCATGTATTTTGTTACGAACAAGGTTCCGCTTCTTCATTAGCTGGAGTGTTTGTTCATAAACTTTTGAACTCAGAAGATGGAACATTTTCGATTGATGAATTGAGAAATCATATTCGAGGAGCTGACATTCATGAGCCGATTACACAGTTGGTTGTTGTAGAGAATACTCATAATATGGCAGGTAATAAATCATAATTATCAATCATATTTCGTCTTTTGAACTATATTTCTATGAATTTAGGTGGAAAAGTTTTACCGCTAAGCTGGATTGAAGAGCTTTCATCTGTTTGTAAAGAAAAGAATTTATCGCTTCATATGGATGGAGCAAGAGTTTTTAGTGCAGCCGAGTATTTGAACGTGCCAGTCTCTCGAGTTGTTCGTGATGTTGATTCGGTTTCGTTTTGTTTAAGTAAAAATCTATGTTGTCCTGTCGGCTCATTGCTCGTGGGAACAAAGAATTTTGTTGATCAAGCGCGCCGCCTACGAAAAGCACTTGGTGGTGGAATGAGACAAGTGGGATTTTTGGCAGCTGCAGGTTTATGTGCACTTGAAACAATTGTTCCAAAATTAAAATTCGATCACGAACATGCACGTCAGCTAGCAGAAGCTATTGATGCTACAAAGAGTTTAGTATTCAAGGTAGATGTCACGAATCTACACACAAACATACTCATGGTTAAAGTTGTTGAAAATGATAAGAAAATTACAGCATTAGATTTGAGCAATAGATTGGCAGAAGTAAAGGAGAATGAGATTGAAAATGGGATATGTGATGATGATCAAAAACCAATAACCATTAAATCAAGTTGCAAAAATTTACAAATTTTGCGAGTCGTGTTCTATCATCAAATCACTGATGAACTGACAAAGCTTGCAATCAAAAAATTTGTGCATGTCATCAGGGATCTAGAGAATACGGAATAGAAAATTTTTAACCATTCATTTTAATTTGTGAATTGTACATTGAAACAAGTCTTTTTAAATTTTGCAGAATAAAACATTTGCTTCATTTTAAAAGTTTTTTAAAAAAATTGATTTTTTGTTTATTTTGAAAATTTTTATGTCAAGTTTATTAAATCATTTGAATTTTTTTTTTTTTAAATTAAACTTTTTATTTATTTACATTTAAATTTAAGTATGTACAAAGTTTCTATACATTTTGTTGCTTTTTGTTTTAAGGTTTCAGGCATTCAATTTGTCTTTTGTCTCTTAATTTTGATTTCATTTACGGATTTTACTTTCTTTTGTATTTCATTTGATTTATTCGGTGAAATCATTTGAATATATAAACTCAAAATACCAAGACGTGGAAACTCAGGATTAATCCTGAAAATTCCAAAAATCCTTTCAAAAAATTCTCTCGGTCAGTTAACATGAAAATGTGAAATCCATTTTAAATCCCGAAATTATTCATCAAATGCATTGAGATTAAATAGGGATTCACATTTTTAATGTTTATTGGCTCCAGGGATTTTTCAGTATTAATTCTGAGTTTCTACGCCTTGCAAAAGACCAAAAAACTATGCACATGCTGATAAAAATATGAACTAAATATTGTGAAAATATATTGCTAATCTTATCTTTTAGTCGTGACGAGAATGAATGAACATTAAGCCTTAGATCATTAATTGCTAAGTGCTTTAAGATATGAGATTATTTGGATTTTATAAAGAAAGTTCCATAAGTACTCAAGGGTGGTTTTTCTGCCGATGATTAGCTTCGCATTACAAAACCTCTACTTCATATTTAATCCATCATAATTTTCACTTGTTAATTTTGCTGCTCATGAAAACCTAAAATTAATTCAATGGTTTTCAAAAAATATTTGAAAGTAAGTTTATTGAAATTTCAGACTAATTTAAATATGTATACAACCATTTGTTTAACATGTAGATAAATCTAGCCAAAAATATAAACAAATCATTTTGTACAAGAATCGATATTTGCAAAGTCATATTTTATGGCATGTATGCATGAATATGACAAGATTATGAGCATTAAATCGTTTAACAAACAAATAAATAATAAACAATGTTACAGTACATAAACCACTAATCAGAAAATGTCTCGAAGCCTTCATAGTATGTTTTTTGGTCAAACCAATTTACAATTTTAATAGAATTTGTTATGGTTTGTAATATTTTTATATGATAAACAATAATATTGTAATATAATATTAAATTTTAGTACATTCATGGTCATGTTAACATAGAGTGAAAAACCTTTTAGAATCATCATCATGATTTTTTTTTTGGACTGTTATTGTTTGTATCTCTTTTTATATCCCATTGCAAATGCTTCTAAAATTAAACAATACAATTTTCTGTTTGCCGTCATTTTATGTTGAAGGGAATTGAATTTAATATTCAAAACAACAATGAGAATGAATATGGAAAAGATACAATAGAATAAAATAGAGACTCAACTCTATTGCATGCATATTTAGAAATAGATTCTGCTTAGTGTCCCTTTCCGTCTATCTCTCTAGCTTTTAAGTTGGAGTGGAGTTAGTAGAATGAAAAAACTTTTATTTTTCACTCAGTTGGTTGGGAAAAAAAAAATTGAAATGAAAGAGGAAACTTTTTTATCTCACGTTAATGCCAGTCAGAAAAAATCTCGGGATTAAATTATGAAAAATACTAAGTTTCTTTTTTATAAATATTTTTTTTTATCTTTCATTACAAACATATTTGTTTACCATATTCAAATTCATTATTAAAACAAATGTATTAAAATTCATTTAAAGCCATACTTGACATGTTCCTCACTGGGTTCCGACTATAAAAACACACATGAGGTATTCCCATCATGCTTTTGTAAAGTTTAAAACTAAATTTACATTTGAATTTGTTTTGTCAGAGTTTCTATTGAATTTTTTTCTCAGTCATATATTAAAGTAAGTTTTGAATCTATATCTAGTGAAAAATAAAAATTTATTGCGAGACTGTTGTGTCAATTTTCTTTTGACAGTTAATTCCTAAAGCAATTATAGCTCTTATTGATGGTCTGTAATGCAATTTTACTTTACATACTTACTTACTTCCTGGAATGGGACGCACGTGGGCCCATTGCCATGCTTAGAGATCGTCTAAAGACAGCTCTATCCTTCGACACCTTTTGCCAGTTCGGGATATTCTGGACTATAGCCTTCTTTTTAACACATCCAATCCAAGAGTTCTTCCATGTTCCTCGTGATCGCTTTCTATCCACAAAGTCTGCTAGTGTTACTTTCAGTACCGGGGCATCCTGTGAGCGTCTAAGCACATGACCTCTCTATCTTTTACAGGTCCATAAATCGCTCGCAATACTCGTCTTTCAATTTTACTTTATTCAATGAAGTTAAAAGTTTAGGAACATAAAAATATTATTGGCATCCTTCTTTTAAAATCTTTATCAAGACGATAAAAGTACCTTAAACTTTAAATTTATGTTTTCTGCTTTTAAATATCTGACCTGATTTTAAAATGTAAAAGTATTTTTGAATTTCACTGTTTTGTTGTTTTAGATATGTAAATAAAATCAACATTCTAAAATAAAATATTAATGGCCCATTGATTGATTACACCCTTAAAAATATTTCTTTTGTATTCAAAAAAATCTATACAATCAGAACTAATTAGAACCAACTTGTTTAAATTGACGGTAATAGAAAAGACAAACAAACGTGAAAATTGGAAATGAATGAGAAAAGTCTATGTTCAAATCAACAGTTTGGAACACAAAAATCCTTTCCTCTTCTCTTTTTCTTTTCAAAACTGCTTCAATTAATTAATCACACAAGTTCAATTTAAGCCTTGAACAGTTTCGTTGGTGTTTGATCGGAAACTTTTTGGACATCTGAGGAAATGTGTACAGCAATAATTGAAAATCAATGAGAGTTTCATGCTTTTCAAACTTTATATGAGGCTTCATTGCTATTCAGTATCTGAAGTGTTTATGTTAGAACGAGCATTAGAAGAGAAATAAAGTAAAAAGAGATTTAGACATTTTCACCAACAAAAGTTGTGTGTAAATTTGTCTAATTTGTATTGAGTACAAGGTACGATACGAGTATTTACAAAAGCTAAATGAAGTTTGCTTTTCGGTTGGACCAGAAAAATCCACCTCACAAAAAAAAAACAATTCATGTCATGAATGTTGATTGCTGAATTGGACCTTTCTAAACGATAAAGTTTTTCTTTTCTCTTTGGCTCTTCTTCCTTTTGATAATTTAATTGGTACTTTTTGTTGGAGCCGTTGTTTTGATTACCGTTTAAACATTGAAAATTTATTGCTGGATGATTCAAGCGTTTTTTAATTGATAAAATGCAACAGGTTATGCGTTTGTCTTGCTTTATTTAAACCTTGGACACCTATTATAATCAATTTAACGATACTCTATTGGTACCTTAGAATTAAATTCCTTTTAAAAAGTCTCACGCTACTTAGCATCAGCATTGATTATAATGTTAATTATTATAAAACCCATTTTGAGCTTTCCTGTAATAGAAGTAGATTGTCTATAATTCTAACTTGTTGAACTTCAGTTCTCATTGTCTGAATTTTAATTAATCAAGGGAGATTTTCATATTTAATTTTTACTACCTACATTCCTCATATTCTTCACCACTTTGTTATTATTCATTGACATAATTTGACCTTTTCCCTTTTTACGACAATTTGTATGCTTTTCATTCAAAACTTTCTATTTAATTTTTATTCTCATTTTATTATGCCGTCTCGACTTTTTTGTTGACGAGAACGCTTTGAGAGCTCTAAAATAATTACATTTATATCCCTAGGCTTTACAACAACATACAACAGAGGCATAACAAATTACGGTGATGAATAATTTTTTTTTTGGTGAAATCCCAGCTTCATTAATAATACTTTTTTCTCTCATTTTCCAGATTCTAAACTGGTCTGTTCGTAGAATTTTCTTTCCGTTGCTCATTTTGTTAATGTATAAAAAAGTTTATAGCTTGTTCCCATACAAGATATACGGGTAATTTTGATTATATGACACTACGCACATTTTAGTAAAATTAAAATATAAAGATAAAGAAAGAATTTTCTGAAAAAAGTGCAACAGAGCATGATGATAAAAAGCGTCAACGCAGTCTGGCATATAAAGCTTGTTCATGTTTGAATGAGGGAAATTAATGAGGGTAAAGTTTTTTTTCTTCATAATATTTATTAGATTCTCTCATTCCCTCTAATTCAAAATATATTTTGAGCGCATTAAGGGCATTATTTTATAAATACATTTATGTCACAAATTTATCTCATACATACACGCACACACAACCAAACTAAAGTAATTTTCTTCAGCATGAAATGATGGAAAGTTCTTGCGGCAATAATGCAAATTAAAAAAGCAGTTCTGTCTCTTTTCTTCTTCGTTCCACAAAATCGTGCTTCCATTTGTATGAACTCTCATGAAAGATAAAAGCTTCTTAATCGAATTAATTTCTTCTTATGGCTCAAACATGACTCCAATTTCTTTCTCATGTTGTTTGAATAATCTTGCTTATGCTTATGCTCATGTTCGTATGCGCTCATTCGCATATGGATTGTGTATTTTATATCTTTCGTTTTTTTTCTGCTATTCCTTCTCATGCTTAAGACATTCAATGATCAAAAAAAAAAAGCAAAAGAAAACCAAAAAGAAAACTTTTTCTGTCTTGACTTTCCTTGCCTTGCGGTAATTTGCTCATATTCATGGAAAGATGTGATGTTATGCTCATGAGTTTGAGACTTGTTTCTCATTTTCTTTATTCTGTTCTTATATGCTTTATTCTTATTTTAAGCTTTTTGGGATACTTTGAACTTTGAATGTTGCTATTCTATCTACTCAACATTGTATTGAGGATCATTCTACAAACATTTTAATTTCTTGTTGTTTTTTATAGTCTACCAATCACTATCTTGGCCAAGATTATTTCTAAGTGATTTCTTTAAAGATGTTTTTAGATTTGTCCATTTTCTTATGCTTGATTAATTTTTTTTAAAAATCCTCGTGTTTTTTGGAAGACCTTAGACTTCTTAATTTAAATATTCTTCTCAAAATGTTGTCAGGCTGATCAGACACATCGAAAAGGAATATAAGATAACTTATAAATGATAATACCAATGGCTGCAGTCGTTCTCAAGCTTCACGTTCATGAAATTTTTGAAATGTGTGAATTTCGGACACAGAATATTTTAACAAAAATTTTCTTTCAAATCTCAACTTATCTAGAACATCCTTCTGACCTGAAAACGATGAAGTTATCTCAATACTTTCCGAAAAGGTGAGAGTTAATACAAAAAGGTATCCACACAGTTCATATGAGCTACATAAATCTTTCATTTTTCTTTTACCAGGTGCATCAATATTATTATAGCGTAGACATGATAGTATAGAGATTGTTGAAAGATAATCATACAGGAAAATTGAGAAATTGGAAAGAGTATTTGCTTTGAGGAAAACTTTGAATAAGAAGGATTGAAGTATGCTTAAAAAAGCATTCTGGATAGTTGAACTTCTCTTTTTGTGAAATAAAATAACAAAAGAAAAATCCTTTTAAAAATTCGAGAATCTCAACTTAGTTTATAAACTGTTAACAGGAACCTTGTGTGAATCTTTTTGGACACTATGTGATCCATTTTTGTCACTTCCATATCCTGATCATAGTAAAGTTCACCTAAATTCTTGACCAAACTCACATGAATAAATTAAAAAGCTTCTTTTACTGAATAAAGTTTAAAAGTTAACGTAATAAATTTATCACATCTGTGAAATAAAAGTATTGTTGCTGAAGGATCTCATGAATAATAAAATGTCTTGAGACTATCTACATTCATCTATGTATATTCAAGATAAGAAAGAAGAAGAAGCTGAGAAAAATATTGTACAACAATTTTAATGTCATTTAAGAGATATTATCAATTATTACGATTATTGTTTGAATTCTATTTTCTGAATAATAAAACGAAAAGCATTTACTTTTTTTTTGAATAAACGTAAACGTGTTCCGAATTTTTGAATATCTTCATTGATAAATGAACAAAATTGTGCCTTTGGGGATTTTTGAACATTTTTTACTGATTTTTATAGCAAGTATATTTTCTATACCCAAAAACGCTACTAGCACCATAAAAATGACGCGTGCAAAAACGAATAGAGGAAGTTGAGTTAATGAAATTTATCATCGCGAGAAGTGATAGGAAATTTAAGCGATGGAATCAAATTTCGATTGGGGAATTAAAAATAGCGGCACAGAACAGCAATCGAATCCTTAAAATTTACGACATATACGTGAAAATATTTCTATTTTTGCCTATGCGGGTATCAAACACTTGTCTCACTCCTTATCGCTTTATCTTCTGCATTTAGATAATTTTCGTTTTACGCGAAAAATTAACAATCATTATTGAATAAAAAATTAGGCGAGAGGGATAGCATCAACAAAGTATGCATTATATAAAATTTTATATTTGATCATTATGTCGCAGGATGAGCATCATCATGATAAAAATGAGATTTAATTTTCTGATAAAGCTCGTTTTGAAACAAGCAATTTTTTTGATACTTTTATGCATGATCTTAATAAAAAAACATGGAGCATAATCAAATTGAATTCTTCTTATTTACAATAATTTGATTAAACTGCTTTATAAATTGTTAATTAATGCATCAAAGAGTTATTTACATGTAAACAAAATATATTTCATTTAAATTAGAATTAATGATCATGAAAATTACAATTTACACCAATATTTTGCAATATAATAATTATGATGGCCATAAACTCCATATACAGCATGACAGCACATGGTCATTAATTTTCTAAGTATAGAGTTATAAATCCAATAGTACTTAATGACATTTGTATTACAGTAGTAATAATCTAATGTTTTTGCGATAACGCCATTATTGATTGACGCATTCGTATAAGTCATTAAGGCAATTGTATGCTATTATATTATTTATGATACTAAGCACATATAACATTCCTAATTTATGCGAAAACACAATGGAAACAGCAAAAGTATGTGAAACTAAAATTCCTTTTCTCTAATTTTCTACTTCATTTGTGCCACACTCGTTTGCCATAACAATTAACATCAAAAGCTTATGATTAATTACTTGTGTGTGATGTCGTGTTGATTTTTGACCCTGATAAATTCATACTTTTTTTTGCCACTATCGACTTGCTTTCATTTTACTTCAAACAAATGAAATTCTATTGCTGTGTATGAGAAGCCTTTTTATTATTACAGCACGCACTATACTCTTTTAATTTTTCCTTTGCATATTTTCCTCTATTTTATTTAGTATTTTTTTTCTACAAAAGTATTATTGTTAAGACAAGAAAAAGGCTTTATTCTTTTTTTTTGTATATTCTTGAAATATAATCGTAGCATGTAGGTATACCTTGATATGCTTTAATTCTGTTATGATATGAAAGGTAAAAGCTCTTTTGTGTAGTTGAGACGTACGAGCAAATGAGCACTATTAATTATGCATATTTTTAGCTAATTCTCGTAACAGCTCATTTCACTTCTAATTCTCCTTTCTCAATTGCTTCGACTTTCATTTTACCCTTTTCAGAAATAATTACCATATCGCGTATATCTGGAAATAAATCCTTGCGCCTTCAATCAACTGTGGCATTTAATCATTTTCTGCAAGTTTTTTATTGATTGTGCTAAACGTGAAAGGTGCTATTAATACTGTTAAATATGATTTTGAGTTGATGAATTAATGAACGGATTATGGATTGATTCAAAGTATGTCGATGTGAAAGCACATGAGGGAGCTTTTATTATCATTTTATGAATGATGCATAGCAATTTAATGTTAAATGACGTTAATCACTTATAACGTAACATTAAATATACATCTTAGAATATTGTACTTGACCATACATGCAAGTTACTCATGTTGATGTATTAATCGTGAAAAATAATAACGATAAATTTTATTCAAACTTTTTTCCTCAATTTTATTAAAAATTTAATGCCGTAAGCTCATTGTTGTACCTTTTTCTCACTTCTTATATTCATCGCGCTTTAATTAATTCTACTTGAAGCAATTTCATTTAATGAAGGTGTAAAATCATTTGCTGATAATGTTAATCCACACCATCGACTAAATTTATATTCATTCAGAATAGAAAGACGATGAGACGATGAATTTTGGAATGAATAAAAAGGGGATTTGTTCACTTTTGAATTTATGGCGTGGAAAGCTGTGAAGAGGAAGGAATCAGTAGCGATAAAATATTTCATTCATATTTTTTGCCACTTTTTACAAATTAATTCTTTTCTTTTCTCATTCAATAAAGAGGAAAAATGAAGAAATTCTCTAATGTATTCCTTTACTTCTGACTATATGTATCTATTCCATGTAGATATGTATATAGTAAAATCAACTAGAAATGGCAATGAGAAAAAATGTGAAAAGAAAATGTGAAAAATTAATGAGATAAAAATTCATTTGTTCAAAAGTGTTCATTCGTAATTCAGGAAAAGTGAGAAGGAAGAGAAAAAAAACATAGAAAGGAAATTAATCCACCCTATTGTCGAATAAGAAAAAAAAAAAGTGGAATTGAATTGAAAATTGAAATGATCTCACTGAGAGAATTTTTAATTTCGATTCGTTCAAGTGGCAAGAAGGAATAATAAGAAGAAATTTGAGGAATTAAAAAGAGTACTTATTCCTTGAGGCACATAAAAAATAAATTGGATATTTGATATCTTAATTCCTTCTCTTCTAACATCATTGAACATCAATTGTAATTGAAATTTTGCGATTTTTTACTCTGTAGGTAGCAGGAGGTAGACTATAATTCAATTTTTTTTAAAAAAAAGGAAATGTAAAATGAGATCTTGTAAAATGATTATCTGAAAAATGGCACAAAATTCGAAGTAAATTTTATTTAAATATTTACTAGTGATCAATTTCAGGTTGACTTTGTCGTTTATTTCCTTATTTCATACCTTTGAATGCTGAATTTTTTTTTATTCTGATTTATTTTATTAAAATTTCATCAATACAAAATTAATATCATTTTTAACACAATACATAAAGTTTATATGTAGCTTAACTTCTAAAACTTATTCCAGGAAATATTATTACAGTTTATCCTGAATTTATTAGGATGTTTTCAAGTTTTTGCTTACATTTATCTTTATTGTGATTTTCCTGAATTGTTTTAATTTAAAAAGGTTTTTAAAAACGACACATATGAATATGATGCTTGAAGAATCTAAATAAAATGTGGAAAATAATCAAAATATTTTAATTATTTTATACTATCAAAGTCCAATATCTACTTACATTAGAAAAAGAGTTTATTGTGATAACCGTAAAATTTAGAGCTGTTAGCTTTACGATTTGCTGTGATTTCATCAAAATAAGATGAACTGATGTTAAAACTCTTTTATCATTAGATTCATACCAATTACCCATAATGATTTGTTCACCAATATTTGAATTTGCGTCATGAAGTTGTTGACAAAAGAAGCAGTAAAAGAATATATGATTTAAAATGATAGCTGCATACAAAACAAAAGTTACATATTTCAACCATTCTTCTTGACCAATGAAACATTCTAAAGTTGCAAAACAAATTGTTAATGAACTGTCTACAAATGTGAGAAAAGTTGATAATGAGAAAATTGCTTCAATCTCTTTATTAATTTGTAAAAGCTCCTGATGCTTTATTGCACAATTTCTTAGCTGAAGATGATCCTTTTTATAGTCTAAATTGATCAGCACATCACTTAGCTCGTTAAATTCACTTGATAACATGATCAAAATTCCAAAGAACAAACCATCACATGCTACTTGCAAAAATGCACAAGAAAAACCTACAAATTCCGACCATATCTGGGTAATGATGTAGATCACCATTGGTTGATAATCAAATGGCAAATAAATTTTATAAATCAACGATTTCTCATCCGGACCCAAAGAAAAGTTTCTTACAATCGATGCTAAAACAAAGCCAATTAGTGTTGTTGCAAATAAAATAAATGAAAACTTCTGATAAGGATGAAAAAACTTTAAACTTCCTTTCAAATACTTTTTGCTTCGTTTTTCATCATTTTCAAGCTTCAGTTTTCTCAAAACTTCAAGAATTGGCTCGTGTTTCCACCAAATGATCAAAGCCTTAAAGGCAGTGATGGTCAATAAGTTGATATTTGAAAGTCCTTCAAAAATATTTTTCATGTCCGATAAATTAAAATAAATGTATAAAGCACACAAACTAGCCGCTGTTAAAATGCTTCCAATACCAAATACAAACTGAATTTTCTTTAAAACCATTTTCAAGTAGCCAGATCTATTAGATGGCTTAAAAGGCATTAAATAAAATCCTGCTGTATAAAAATACTGTTTTGTAATTTTCAGAACAAAATCTTGATCCATTTTTGCTTTGAAAAATTGGCAAATTTTTCAGGTTCGTTCTGTTTAAAATCAAGATGTTGAATGAATCTGTAACTTAAAAGCTTCGAAAAATATAACATTTTTAATTTTGAATGTCAGTCGCTATTTAGCATGAAATTCGTTTTCAGCACGATAGTAAGTTCTTTCAAAAGCTATAAATTTTTAAAATCATTAATTTGATAATTTGATTTTATTTAATTGAAAGCGACTAGTTGAAATATAGAAAAAAATGGACATGAACACTACTAAAATGGCTTCATGAGACTTTAAAAGTACAGAATAGAATATGGTCATCCTGGGTAATTTTTATTCAAATCAACACTATTTAATAATTAATCAGACATTTGAAAATGTTGAACAATAAACAATAATAAGCCAGACTACCGTCATTTCATATAACATCCGTTAAATTTGTATTCAAAAAAATTCAATATTTTTATGACCGTTATAATATTCAAAAATTTTTGACGGTTAAACCAGATTTTAACATGCACTTACTCATTTTGCTCAAATTTTATTGTTAATAAAGTTGAGAATAGATAAAAAAAATATAAAATTAATAATTTATGAAGAACTTTGGGATTTGTGCAGAATTGGTATTAATTAAAATAATTTATTGTTTACATAATGTAACTGGTTTTTGAAATTTGAATTTTCGGCTCTAATATCGAAGAAATCGAAATTAATTTCGAAGAAGTCCGAAACGAAATGGCGGTAGTCTGTAATAAGCTAGTTGATTATTGTCATTAGGAATAAAAAAAAAGAACGAAATTGTAAGGATAATAAGAACATGCTAATAACACATCAATCATCATATAATGAAGCTTTTTCAGCCAACAATTATCATTAATTCTTAAAACAAAGTATGTAGGTAGTTAAGCAATGGAACTATGTATTTTATAAAAGAAAGCATTTGAATCTTCAAATATAATTAAACTCGATTTATTAATTAAAAGCTTGTGTTCGTATTTCATGTTATAAGCGAATTTCCGATAAATAATATCTGTTAATTAACCAAATACATCATGAATAATTCCATAATATTACTTTGATTTTCTCGAAGGATATTTATGTGACATTCTCAATATCCCACATTCAATTTCCCACTTGTCTTGTCATAAAGTTACATAGCATTTTCACTAGACACTTGTTTGTCTAATTATGGTGTTAGGAAAGAGGTTGGAGAAGCAAATCAAAATGTCGATAATCTGGTCATCGATTGAATATGTTCTATATGTAACATGAGAAAACTTTGGATATATCATGATATGGAAGTGAATTTATTGAGGCACATTTAATTTGGCAATGGAGATTGTCAAAGAGAATTAGAAAGTTGGAGTGATTGAAGTAAACTTTCAACTTACAACACACATAACGATGATTATGATTGCTGCCAATTAGAAGTTTATGTGCCAAAGGCAATTTCTGGTATTGATTACATTAACTAGCATCTGGTATCATCAAAATATTTAACATTTACATGAAATAATTGTTGTTATTAAAAAACTTAAAGACCAATTTTAATTTGTATAACATCAACATGGTTTTGTATAAGTTTAAGGGGAAACTTTTGTAGGTAATTTAAAGTTATTTAATCTTACGATTTATTAACAGATTTCAAATAATTTTTTTTTAAAATGTTAAAGTATAATAAATGCTTTCTTTTGACATGTTGATTTCGAGAATGGTTGGTTGTAAATCTCACCATCCCTAGCCTGAATGTGTGGGTGCCACCCTACAGGCGAGGTTATTTAAATAGGTTTTTAATCTATCTTTAAAGTCTTATTACGGCACAGGCATCGATCGCCAGCGGTGTATTTAAGGTATGCACTTGACATTTGGTCAGCTTCGGATTCAGACTTAGGCTTTCCCAATCCCTCATCGTCGTTTTATTAAATCAGTGTATTTATAATGATTTCCAATAGACAGTAGCCTCTAAACATTTTCACCTTTGATATCAATTTAAACGAAGTTTTGACAGGAATCAGAATAAAACTTAACTGGTTTAACATAGATTTTAACTTTGAGCAGTGTTTCATGCAAAGTAGTTTGTTTGTCAAATAAAAACTGCTTACAAAAGGTAACCTTAAATCATACCCAAAAAAAAGCAAACCACAAAAAAAATTGCAACTCGCATTGTTGATATTTTACTGTTATGTTTATTAAATAAAATTTTTGTTTATCGTTCAAGTGCAACAGTGTTTGATATTTAAAATTAGCACACATAATTGTTGCAATATCTTATCTTTGATTTCTATTGAAATTGAAATCAATCAAGTAATTTCCTTAGTTAAAAATATTAAGCATGACGATGATAATAGATAGTGGCCGATAAATCACGTTGCGAATTTCAAAAAAAGAAAAACAAATTACTGCCAAATAATGAAGCATTTTAGAAAGCGTTCAAGTGTGAAGAACCAAAAATTAATCACATTTAATGAATTCTGAAGAAGCTGAAAAAAAATTGCGATACTTTTGAGTGAACTCAATGAATTCTCTGTCGGTGGTTTTCATTCATAATACAAAGGCATGCTTCAAATTGTTTATGAATCGGGCATTGGCAGTTAGAAGTAATAATAAAGAAAAATTGATTATAAAGATGAAACAATGAGAAGTATATTACAGAGGAAGTGAGTTAATTCTCTTTGATTTAATAAAATTATTGTTTGGGAAGAAGATGCATATCAAAGCATAATTGATGATTAAAATCATGCATCGCGCACACATTTACATCTCAACTCATACATAAAACTCGCTCTCACTCATATAGTCTCACTCACTCGCATCAGCTGTTTCTATATGTATTCATTCTTATAAGAGAGACAATGTAAAAAGATTTATTTGCATGAGTGATAGATGATAATACATTTCAATAATTCATATCAATTGAAATCAATTTGTATGTGAGAAAAATCATTCTTAAATTCCCAAGCGTCAAGATTCTCGATTTGATTATTTATAAAATATTATTTTTTATTGTCATCACTCTCTTATTTTTTGTCACTCCCTCTCTTTTTCACGATCGCGACTCATTCAAAAAAAACATAAAGCATTTAAAATTTTTGTACAGCACAGTTGAAAGGAAAAAAAAATTGAGCGCGGGAAAATTAAATGAGATCTCATATAAATTAACCATCATTTACCCACGAGTCTGTCTATTATTTGAGATGAAAAAGTGAAGAAAGAAGACATAAACAATTGTTACATGCTATGAACATTACTAAATGAAACAAACGAAATAAAAACAACAGCAAAACAGAACGAAGAAAAACTGGGAGAAACACAATATTCAGTTACTTGTTCTCTCAAACAATTTCATACAAACAAATTTTTTTTTTCTTTCAGTTGTTCAACTGATTTTGTACCGAAAGCATTCTCCGCATCGATTTTTCCCGTGTGCGCTCTCTCGCATTTTTATTTTGTTATAAAAATATATATATTCATATTTGAAATCAAAATCTGTAGTGTTTGTGATATATTCAATAAAGAAGTGTTCTTTATGTTTATTTTTATACACGGCTGCATGCTAGCTCTTCACATTAGATTATTGCTGACACATTTGACAAGACTTTGATTGTCTCATAGGATTGAAAAGTTGTCTTATTGGCAAAAAAGTTTCATCGCTTTATCGATTATCCTTGTTGTTGGTTCATGTTTTTTTGCGAGAATCCTTAAATGTGTATTGGTGATAAGCACAAGGAAAATTCTGAGAGAGAAAAACGAGAATGAGAGAATATTTTTTGCATGCCGAAATTTCTCAACAGTGTAGACGATAATAATCAAAATAAATAAAACTAGAAAAAATATTTTTTAATTCTTTTAAGTGCTTTGAGTGAACTTTTGAAAATTTTCTATTTTCTAAAAAAATTATGTGATAAAAAAATTTATAAAAATAATATGCGTGTGAGTGATTGTGCAAGTAAAGGAGGAGAAAATCGAGGAAACTACATTTAAAATGTTAAGAATTTTCTATCAGTCTACACTGCAAAAAAATCATCTAGAAGAAGATTAAAGAAATTGAATTCCCGTTCGTTATTGCTGAGGGGAGTTATATATAAGCTGGGTATGTTATTACAGAATGCATATAATTTTAATACAATATCGATATTATAAAGAACTAGTTTTCTATTGAATTATTTTTTGTGTATATCTTACATCGTCACTTACTTTCGAAGTCGCTTCCGAAGTGCACTCAATTAGATTCTATGCCGTATGCAACGGGTTTTTTGTGTGATTTCTTCTTTCGCGCTATATTTCTGCATATACAAAAAAAAATGTTCAATTCAAGTTGAAAGCGAGATGAAAATTTGCCCGAGGAATTCTTGTGTGGTACAATGCAACAAAAATAAAGAGCAACAAATGCCATTACTTGCATCTCATTAAAAAATTCATTCTTTTATTTTCTTGTCTTGTTTATTTCTTTTTATTAAAAGAATTAAGATTCAAACAAGAGGAATTATTGACAAGAAAAGTTCACTTGATGATGCCAAAAACGTTTGATAATAAATCAAGGTTAAGTCTGCACGAGATGTGAGGTGGGCTGTAATTGTCATATTTTATGTATAGACATATAATTTTAATGGCTAAATTTGCTTGCCAAATTTATATTAAAGTGATTTGCATGATTTTTGTTATTACGACAGTCGCCTCATGTGTCGAATAATTGATATTTAAAGAGTATGAAAATATTGTCAGAGGCGTTGAATTTTTAATTCTATGAACATCCATGAATACACTGGATCTTTTTCAAGGCACATGACAATTTTATTCCTCTCCTACACACACATACATGAATATAACTTTATTTACTAACATTGCTAAATCCCTGTCATAATGCCGCCTTTACGTCTCCAGCATTGATAATTCTTTATTTATTTGTCTCTGTACGACATAAACAAATAAACGAAAAGGAAATCGAAAAGAAGACGCTGTAATACACATTGGTTGAATTTATGTAGTTTTTTTTTATTTCGGTGGTTTAT